TTTGGTTTTTTCGTTGGTAGGGTAATGCTTTAAACTAAAACAAATTAAAAAAAAGTCAAAATTCAGGTTGACCAAGGGGTGATTTTGAAAAATTAAAAAAAATACGGGTGACGGACCTTTATAATTTCTACATATAAGTGGAGCATTTGATATTTTAACTAAAATTTTAGGGTCCATACGTAAATCACTCTTTTAAATATAATTTGATCCTAAATTTTAGAGAATATATAATCTTTAACATGGTGATCATTGATATGAAAAAAAAAAAACAAAAAGACTAGAAACAATAATTATATTAAAAAAATATTTGGATCAAGTTACAATTACTTTTAGATAGACAACCTATTTGCATCCATCTTGAAACTGGATATTATAAAAATACAGTCCGGCCCGCATGAAACAATTGTTCTTTTTTTAAAATTAGCCGGCATAACCTTGCCCAGCCTAGTTAAGCAATGCCACAAGTCAGCATTTGCGGCCATACTAGCAGGCTTGTGGAAAGTTTAGGTTGTTTTAAATAAGAAAAACTTTTATATAGAGACGAGGCTCTAAATGGTTTGTATGCTCTCTTTGTGGCTACAAAAGGGGAAGAGAGAAAATGGGATTTTGTGGATTTTTCATTACTGATTTGCTAGAAATGATGAAGGGAGAGAGAGAAGATGAGGGTTTTATGAGGGAAGGAGAAAAAGGGTAAAACAATACAAATGGTTCTTCAAAGAAACCTATTAACACCTCGACTTAATAGGCTCCCAAATTTTATTATTTTGCACAATGGACTGTTCAAAATTACCATACCCAACATGGTCTATTTATTTGAAAATTTGATGAACTTCATTTAGCGGGTAGAATTAATAAAAATTAGCTAGTCAAACTGGCCAAACATTGTTTGGACTAGTTTTCGATCAAGCTATATTTTTACCTTGGACTAGAATGGTTATCTGTTGACGATCTAACCGGTTAGACCACCATTAAGATCCGGTCTTGATAACTATGATTTGGATTTTGGACTCAATGTTGTCTTGAGTCCAAGCACTATTTCGAGACTCGGCCAAGTAACTCAGCCTCACTCTATAGAAGAGGCGAGTTTGCCCCGAGTACATTATACATGAGTTATTAATATGTTATATATGATGATGTAGTCAATTTTTAACGTAAACATTCAATTAATGCTCTGGTATGCGTGCATTAGTATGGTCCATGACTTACTTCCTTAATGAAATGCTTTCCTTTGGTTTAAACCTTCTATTTTTTTTGGTTAAAGAAAAAACTGGAATTGAAAAAATTATTTAGGAAAAAGATTCAAACATAATACCTCTTACAAAGGGATATTATAAGAGTTTAACACTTTAACCAACACACCATTGAAATTTTTTTGTAACCAAAAAAATATATCTATTATACTACTACCTTCCAAAACAAAAAAAACAAGAAACAAAATTTGAACATGAACGGGTTGAAGATTCAAATCCAAATTATCCTGCATGAAGGAACCCTAAGAGCGGTGGACCTGACCATCAAGTCATTTAACGCTCAATGTTACAAAATTAAAAGTTATAATATATATAAATTAATTTTTATGTTTTTTATTTTTATTTATTTTTAACTTAAACTATACTCGAGAGAGTTACTCTGATCTGCTTGAGTAACTCAGTTCAGACGAGGCCTGAGTACCTTGGCCAAATCAATTTTATGAACACTGAGTCCAAGTCATCCATCCATTGTTGACTGAGTTAGCCACAGGCTTGGCGAGTTTCTATGGTGCCAACCCTAAAATATATAAATTGGCAGTGTTTGGCAAGATGTGACACTTTTATGGAGTTTGAGTAACACAGGAGAGTCGGAGTAGACTGACTCGAGTATAACATCGACGTTAGTAGTTGAACACTTCAAGCTTCAATGCACATTCCTCCGATTACCCGGCGCGTATTACATACGTAGCTGAGTGTATACGAGAGAGAAAAATGATTGCCCTAGTGAGAGGGAGAGTGATAATTCCTTTTTTTTTTTTTTCATTTTTTTTTAATTTTATTTTTTGAAATGTATATTCTTTTTTTTGGGTAAATCTCTCCCGTACCTTACAACGTTAAAGTTAGCATAAGCCTTTTTTTTTTTTATGGGTGTGGTTTCCATTAGGTTGAAACTTTAAACAATCCAATTAAGGGGTACCTCCAAATTTTATCATAACATGTAATTTTGGTAAAAAAATATCTTAAGATTATCTCAAAGTATATTTTCATATCTAACTATAAAATTTTAAACTCCAAAAATGGTTAAAATCAAGTAGATCTATAAACATATGAAAATCTTAAAAATTGATGGTATAGATATTGTAATGCACTATTTTTGGTATATATATATATATATATATATATATCGATGTCGAGATGATCAGTTAGAGGCTTTTTCAACATTAAAACAATCTTTTCAGATGCATTTTTGAGGTGCATCTGCAATTCTACATTTTAAGGTTGCAACCTTATATAAACTTTTTCCTTTTTTATATTTTTATTTTTGGACAAAGTTTCAACATGATATTTTTTGTAGTTGCTCGTTTTTCTGCTTATTTATATATGGGTGTGGTTTGTATAAGGTTGCCACCTTAAACAATCTAATTAATGCGTACCTCCAAACATTATCATAACATGTAATTTTGGTGTAAAAGATATTTAAGATTATCTAAAAGTCTATTTTCATCTTGAATTATAAAATTTTAAACTCCAAAAATGGTTAAAATCAAGTAGATCTATAAACATGAGAAAATATTGAAAATAGACTGCCTATATTTGAAGTTTTCAGATTAAATTTTTTCCTTTATATATTTCAAGTTTTCAGATTAAAACCAATATTCAAGTGACAACAATTAGTGGACGTATATATACGGCACAAAACATGTCCCTTTGGAAGTAAGTTCTCCTTTCTACAATTTTAGGATGACATAGAAGAGAAGAGTTTCGATGCTTGCCCTAGAAGAATATACTTCTCCCATCCTGTTGTCCAATTTAGATCAAGTGAGCCACTTATCGTTTGATCTAGATCTAATATTTTAGAGTTTTTTATTTTTTTTATTTTTATTTATTTTATTACAAATTATAAGAATATAAACTCTGGTATGTGACATCATCTCAATATGGCTCACCTACAAAAAATTTTAAAAAATATTTGATAACATAGAATGACCAAAATACCCCAAAAGCTTTCAGGGGTATTTTGGATATTTTATTTTACTTGGAATATTGTTTTTATATGTGCCATTTTAAGAGAAGAGTGGATGCCCAAAATTTCATGTCAAAATTTTTTGAAGAAAAAAATTTAAAAATAAAATAGTGAAGAAGCGTGACATTGTGATAGGAGCCATCTCAACCATCTATTTAAGGTGGATGGTAGGATAGGGACAAGTATATATATTTTGTATAGTAAGGGGAATATAGAAAGCTTGTCCAAAATGCAAACAAAGAAAAATACAAAGGTGTGTGATTACCAAAATATTCCTCAATATCTTAGAGGTATTTTTTAATTTATTATGTTAAACTGTGTCTATAATATTTTTATAGGTGTGTGATAAAACTAAAAAGTAAAAAGTATTTTATGCTCTCAAAACGTGGGATTGAAATGTAAAATGTAAAATATTGGCTTATTCTGAAATTTAAAAAACAAAATTTCCCTATAAATTTCCTACTAAATTATCTCCATTATTTTTCAAAAATGATGAGAATGCCTAAGATTGAAAATCATCTTATTTAAGAGAAAAAAAACAAGGATTTAATGAAGAGAAACAATATAAAAATTTGACAAATACGGTATTTATCTGAAATGACCAAATTATGCTTGTAGTTCATTGTAATTGTAAATATTTTTTCGATATCGCGAAATTAACCTTACGAACCCATTTCGTGTGCACCTTTCACGCGTATTTGACATATGACGATAACGCCCTTGAGATTTTTCTTAAAATACCAACTTACCATTGTGAATTTGATGCCCTCTCTCCAGTATTTAGAAATCTTCTATTTTTTTTCATTATAATTTAGAAGCCGGTGACTCGGATTGGGAATTAGTTGGGCCGATTTGGATTCCCCAAGTATTGAGAACCCACCAGTTTTTAATTTATTTTCAATTTTTTATTCTTTAATATTTTTAATCTTTCTATCTGATTCGGATTTGTTCTCTAGAGAGGCAACCGAGTCCCAAACTGCGTTTTTATGCCTTGTTTTAATATAATTTCCTTAACCAAAATACCCCATCAATGACGAAATTGTTGTTTACCCTTTTGAAAATGGCACCTTTATAAGGTCAAGGTGTAGCACTACCTGTGATTTAGCTAGCGGTCTCGATTTCCATTCTAACCAATACTATTGAATCGTAATGTCTGTTTAAAAAAACTTGCAGTTTTCTTTTGCTATTGGACCATAATATCCCAAATATTCGTTTTGAGGTCTCTTTTATTTGAATAGATAATGGGAATCGACCTGAGCTTTATAAAGATTCAGTTACAATTTGACTCATGTGGCTCAGGTGATTTTCGAGAGGGATCAGTCTATATTTATTAAAATTAAAAATATAAGCTAAAGATCAGAAAATCAAAGTGTGCATAATCCCGATCCGACTCAAACGATTTTGAGTCAGATCGACAAGTTCTCAAAATTCGGACCATGGAGCTTCTAATCATTCTCTCATTGTCTCTAATGTACGTAATGTTTCTGGAATAATGCAAACTCTTGAGACTAATGAAAAGCTCCGAAGCCATTGGACTAGGTATTCTCTCTCTCTTATCCACTTAATTCAATTTCTTGTGATCAATAAGACAAGGTTTATATGGCTTTCATTTATTAATCCACCATGGTTGTGTGCTTTTATTATTTTCCTTCTTTTTATTTCTCTTTATTTATTTATTTATTTTATTATTATTATTATTATTATTATTATTATTATTATTATTATTTTTATTATTTCTAATAGATTTTTCTCTCCCCATATACGAAAAAAACTAACAGACATTGTCAATATGTTAAACTGCAGTATTACTTAGTCTTATGCTTCCCCATAAGGATGGTCCTCCAACAGAGGGGGTTAGTTAAGTGTGTGGATTACATGCGGTATCCACCTTAAACAATCAAAATAAGCATTCTCAAATTCTATTGTTAAATGCAATTTCATTTCCGAAAACCCTTATAATGGCTTGAAAATCTACTCCTAAAGCCAATTACAAAATTCGAAGCTCCAAAAATAGAGTAGATGGTAGACCTATGAACACTTAAAAATCTTGAAAAGAAAGAGTCCAAATAATGTGTTACGAAACACAATATTTTAAAGACCAAAAGCCTTTTTATTCATATATTCATACAACTTTTTTCAATAGATCTTTGAGGTACATCTTATTTAAGGTAACACATAGTTTAGAATGCAGGTTCAATATATATCTGCATAGGAGTCATAAATCACCCTGCGTACAGCAATCGGGCTACGAACAAAGTGCTCACCATCACTCCAAATCAAGCTCCCGAAGGTATAGTCCCCTTGCATCTGGTGTACCACTGTGAAGGTCACCTTGAAAGGAAGCACTATGGTTGCTTCATTGAAGTATAACACTTTAGGTTCCACTACCACTTTCACACCAGTAGGAGACTCAACCATAGCTTTGTAGACTGAGTGGACCTTACCCACATTGGTAACCTTTCTTGCAATGGTCACTGAAGTTTTAAGTTCAGGAATTACAATAGAGGGTAGGTTCATATTTGGTATTGATGGGGGGTCCTTAGGGCAAGAGATTGTTTTCGAGGTGACGAGTGAGATGGCAGAATTGTTGTAGCCCATGGCACAGAAGAAGAGGATATAGTCAGAAATATCCATGTCGTAAATGAGACCGGGATCTGCAGCTTGGTTAGGGTTTACATGGCCACCACCATAGTCGAAGGGATCGGCCACCTTGCGGGGATATCCTTCTGCTAGCATTGGCTCTTCATTTTTGTCCATTGTTGATGCTTCAATTCGATTAAATTTGCAGTCAAATGAGGGAAACATGATCATATATGCATATATCTGATACTACGTTTTTTGCAAGAAGCCAACATAAACATTCAACTATTTCCTGGATACGTCAATTTGTTTTTTATAAATAACCATTAGCATGTTATCTATTTTTAGATAAAGCAAGGGCATTTTACAAAGAGATTGTATACTATAAAATCATTAACTTTTGGTAAGGAAAAAAAAAAAACTTGTAGTCACAAATGTAAAATCAGGTGACGAGGTGTGCGTCATTTTACCCCACTAAATCTAAACTAGTAGCTTGACCAAACATGTAAACTTTGGGTATTTAAGGAGCTAATCAGTTTGTCCAAATTAGTGATGTAAAAATTTCGTAGCCAACTTGGATTCCCTTGAGTCAGCTTAAGGTTGAGAGCCAAGTAATTCCTGTTTCAGGAACCTTATAATTTCTTCGAGTCTCGTTATTTTTAGTCTTTTTTTTTTTTTTTTTTTATTCTTTTTTTCTAATTTCATCGTGAAATAGAGCTTGATTCAATTAGGGAATACTCGATCCATCGTCAGAAAATCTAAACCAAACTCTGATGACTTAGAGCCTACTTCTACTTTTTGAAACACTGGTCCAAACCAGTATAATTTGAACTTGTTCCAACTTGCAACTATGAAAATGGCCTAGCATGTTATTTGTCGAAGGGAGAAAAAGATGGCAATTGGCATGGGAATCAATGGTTGGGTTGTTGACAATTGTAGCACTACATCCCGGGTTCAAATCCCATAATTAGCATTCCACGAGAGAGAGAGAGAGACTCACCAGTGGTGACAAGAGCAGATTTTATTGCAGCAGGAGACCAATCGGGATGGATAGACATGAGCAAAGCGACTATGCCGGCTACATGGGGGCATGCCATAGAGGTTCCCGACATGAACATAAACTTGTCGCTTGTTGAGTCAGGCGATGGCACCGCAGCCAAAATGTTGACACCAGGGGCAGCTATATCTGGCTACTCCATGAAGCAAAACAAATAGATATCATACTATGTCAAAGTTAAAGGAGCTCATTCTATGATATTGTATGCCATTGATTTCATATGATTCACTATGCATACTTTCCGGTTTCATTCAAAATACAATTGCATCTTCATCATTGTTTACAAATTTAACTAGGATTGGAATGACAACTTGTTAAGTGGTTTCATAGTCATTCCCTTTATTTTTTTTGAACACTTAACAGTTTGTTGTCATTGATTAGAATTCAAAGGTACATCACAATACATGTACAAAATTCATCCCTTACACAAAATGGCGCGATACTTTGCCAAAATCTTGGTTGCATAGCCTATTAGATTTATATTTTATGTACACATTATAAGTGTTTCTTATAGAAATGCAATTAACCACCATCTATTTAAAGTTAATTACTTGTACAGGAGTAGTAGCATGGCTTGGAGTCCATGATCTTGAAACCAAGACTGGATTTTGTGATCATAGTTTTTGTATGAGCAGTTTTGCCATGGACAAAATTTTAGCTGAAAGGCAATCCTTTGCCAAATTTGTGCCTAAACTCATCCAGTTCTTCTATCAAATTTGTCGAAAGCACAAGATTAATTGCTGATATTGTGACATGAATTTGGTAATTTGTTCAATCACCCTAAAAAGAAAAAATTGAGCAACCATGTACCTTTAAAATGGCTGGAGATAAGGAATTGGGTCCTCGCGAGGAAAAGGTGGCCACTTTGGGTGATTTTATGCTCCCCACTAACGTCTTTGAATGACTTATCTTCACCACAGGAGAACTGCATGCCACTGATATCTTAGTTTGAGTTTCAGAACTTGAACTAGGAATTAATAATTGCTTTCAAATGCAATTACACAAGTAGCATAATTTTCAAGAATTTGATTGGTTGGTAACCAAAACTCCGATTAGGAACTTTGTACTCAAGTTTGTAATTCCATTTTCATTTCAGAGAAGGTATAAAAAAATTCATAAATGACATATGCATGTACTTGTCCGAGGATGGCTTTAAAATCTCCTTAGTTTCTCTAACTCTAGCAATAAAGAGTTAAGTATTCACAATGCCCTTTTTTTGCGGAGGATTAACTTAATTCCACAGTTCTAGTATGAGTAAGGTAATCATCTACTAAGTTGAATGCTCTTTATGTATTATGCTAAAACATCTTATATTTTGAGAATCATATAACAGTTCGTTAAATTGTAATATGTAACTCATTATTGGTATATAAAAAAAAAAGGAGAAAAAAAGAAAAAAAAAAAGAAAAAAAGAAAAAGAAAAATGGGTTAGCAATGTGACTCTTAGCACATTGTTGTATATCATTAGGCAAGACATGGCTACATTGATAAATTGTAATCTAATGTAAGGCCATATGATTACATTGATGAAATGTTTAACATAGATTGAGAGCCCATTTCTTATGAGAATGTGCAATTCAAAGCCCTTTTCTTATTAAAGGAACCAAGTTATTTGTGCCCTACAATGACTGGTAAAGTCATACAATGAGTGGTAAAGTCATCACTATTGGAACAAAATCTTATGTCCATGAGACATCTGGGGACAATTATGCCATGATTGGTATAATCATTTACCATTTAAACAGGTTGTCGTACCACGTACAACTGCAATGGAGAATGTTGTTGGTGTCATAATTGTTATCTTGCAACAAGACTATCTTTATAGGTATGTTTATTTTTGTCATTATCATCATAGAAGTACTTTCCCAATTCATTTGGGGTTGGCAACATAAATCTTTGTCCGTTATTTTACTCTATTAAGAGTCATACTCTCAGTGAGGCCATAAATTTCCATATCTGCTCACCTTACTTCAAAAGGTTAAAAAAGTATACTATAATGATGTCTAATGGAGTTGTGAATCCTTGCTAATAGAGTGAGCCACTATAAGAGCAACATGTTTAAGTGTCTTATGCGGCACTAAAAATCTCCCATGAGCATTTCCAAGTGGTAGAGCATTGAGAAGTACCTATACTATTTTGATTACAAGATGGTCCATAGAAACAACCTATTGTGTAAACCCCAAGACATGGTTTTCATCAAATCATGCCCAAATGAGTATAAACCTCTATCAAAGGCATGAAATGGGTTAACCCATGGGCTTTAAATGCAAAACAAGGAAGTTATGAATACATTATTAAACTGTCTCATCACAGGAGAACGATTTGGCTTATGTAAGAGTAATTTTTTTGTTTTTTCACTAAATTCATTAATACAAGGATGTTCCTTGTTTGTACAAAATGAACTTATATGTAAACAAACAATGTGGCTAAAGTCCCTTAGAACTCCTCTCTGAATCCAATATCCAATAAAAGAAACTCAAGATCCTTAATGATCAAGAATGAGTCCCATTTTCTCATTGTTGTGTTCTCTAGTTTTGTTTCATTTAAGGTGATTTTTTCATTAAAATCCTTCAAGCACACTTTTAGGTGAATCACATCCGTAGAATACAACAATGTCGGCAACAGTTACAGCTACGTGAACCAATGATCCAAAAACCTTAGGCCTTGACTTGGAATCGACTGAGTTGGATCGAAACTAGGTGGACAATTTCGATAGAAAATCCCAAAAATCGATCAATAGAAAATGATCCAAATGAAACTTTTCCATTTTCTTTGCTTATATATTATAACCTAGTCCAACTACTAGTAGAATCACAATCGGACCCTCGCCGAGTTGGGGCCCAATTCTAAATTTCTTAAACATTGACTTCTCTAGCCGTGAACAATATAATAAAAGAGAAAAAAAATGTTATGAAATGATTTTCAATTAGGATTATCATGACTACATGAACAATATAATCAATACATTATATTTTTCTTTGAATGTCTGTTATATGAATAGACTGTTGAGATGAACAAAATCTTTGTTGAAGTCAATTATTGGCTTGCCTAAAAACAAATGAACTCTATATCTCAAGTATAATCCTTGAGAATTGATGGTTCATAAAGCATGAAGCATATAGGTATTGCATTTTTGTTTTTAACGAGATAATGATCTTCAAGAAGGACAAAATTCTAAGATAGAGGGTAAGATACCTTGTAAAATATGATAGTAAAGATAAGATACCCTAAAAACATTAGAAAAAAGCTTCCTGGGCTGCGGTGGTTGAAATTATTAGAGGTGAATTGGCTAGCTAAGTTAATCAATACATGATAATTGTAAGGGCCAGTTAGGATGTAATCCTAATCACTGATAATTCATTGTTTCAATGAAGTTAATCTTGATAATAAGTTATAAGTTGCCATCATAAAGTTATTTGAGATAAACTTATAATAAATCACTAAAAAGTTAAATATTGAAATAATATTACCCATAATACAAGATACATACCAAACAACTAAAAAAAATAACAATGTCATCTATATGTATTAATTCTAGATGCAGTTATATATTTCAGAGAAAATTAATTATCATCTAAACATGCCCTAAGAATTGCCTACCAAAAATGAAAAAAAAATAAAAATAAAAATACGGCATTCTTTAACATGAAGAGTACATAAAGGAAATGACATACCTGGTGGATAGCGGACTATTTAATATAGATAAAGATAGGTATATGCTAACGTCAATCTAAAATTTGCCTTTCAGACACATGACGTCATTTAAAGAAAGGAGGAGGTGTAATTAAGTCACATTAAAAATCTTTATGATGATAAGAAATAGACAACCTATATAGAGAGAGTAGAGACGCAAAGAAGCAAATAATGAAGACATAATAAGTTTTTTATTCACATTTCGGAACGACTAAGCATATCGTAATTAAAAAAGAAAAGAAAAGAAATCAAAATGTAAATGATTCTATAATAAAACATTCTTTCTAAGGAGTGAAATTACCTAGAAGTTTGAATGTAAAAAAGTATTTGTGTGCCAACTTGGTAATCTACTTCAGTGCATGGGATGGGTTTGCATGGAGATAAGATCGTATCTGATGATTGCACAAAGATGACACCTATTCCCCCTGCTGAAGCAACTGCTTGGGCCGCTTGATCATTCATAGATGTGAAACAGAGAACAACCTTCCCTGTAGCCGACCCACGCCTTAGATATCCACTCAAGCATTTTCTGCATATTCTTAGCATTAGAAGTGCTCTACTTCCTTCTAAAGTTTAAAACCAAAAAAAAGAAAAAAAAAAAAACAAAAAACAAAAAAAAAGGAAAAGAAAAGAAAAGAAAGAAAAGAAAAAGGAAGGAAGAAAGAAAGAGCAATTACTTTGTGTGAATATTATAAAGGGCAAGCTTTCTATGCTTCCTCTACAGCATAAAACTTATATACTTTCCCTTATCCAACCATCCATTTTGAATGGAGGGCTAAGATTGACCCAATCACAATGTCACATCTCTACACTATTTTATTTTTAATGTTTTTTTTATAAACTATTTTGACACTAAATTTTGGACGTCCAATTTTCTATTAAACTCGTACTAGCGAAAAATATAAAAACAATATTTTCAATAAAATAAAATGAACAAAATACCCTTGAAAACATCAAGGGGTGTTTTGGTAATTTTATTTTATAAAACATTTATTCTTTATTTTTTTTTATAGGTGCGCCCCAATAAGAAGATGGAACATACCAAATTTCATATTCATACAATTTGTATGAAAAAAACTAAAAATAAAATACTTTAAGACATCAGATCTAAGATAAAAAAGTGAGTGGTTCTCTTAATCAAAATTGGACGGCTACATGGTAGGGAAAGCATAGATCTTCTATGTTGTGGGAAATATAAAAACCTTTCCCTATTATAAATACCTAATTTTCTTGAAACTGATACACATTGATCCATTGAGGCCATTGGAGTTTAGAATCATAAATTTGCATTAAGGAAATATATAAGATGAGAACATTTACTTTTGATTAAAGAATGTCACAATTATTGTCAACCTTTGCATGTGACATCAGATAAGTGGTGATGTATTACTAATTAAGCACAAAGTCCGAAACAAGTTTTTTGAAAGCTGTGATATATTTCAATATGGTAAATTTCACATTTAATAGCTAAAAAAAGTAGTGACCTTTTTGTACCAAAAATTAATGGTCTCGTAGAAATCAATTTCTTTACAAAAATATCACTCCAACTAGATCCTACAAAAAAAATATCTTCACACATTATTGATCATCTTTCAAAACTCCAAACCATTTCCAAAAAAAAAAAACACGAAGAAAAAAAAAGAAAAGAAAAATAATGCAAAAATGGTTTCTAGAAGGGACAATTTTTGTTAAATCACAATGATTCCAAAGGGTAAACTTGTACTCAAAATACTAAAAAACAATAAATGTATCCAATACATTCTTACAATGCCTTAAAAATATTAAATAAACAAAGCAGTTGGCTTCGAAAGTCATTTTTTTTTCGAATGGTCCATTTGTCCATTTGTCCATTTCGAATGAGCAGGACAAATGGACCATTCCTATGTTTTAGTAAGTTGGGCTCAACACATCTTAACATGGACAGTTAGATTGAGGTCGCAATTAGCCCATGTTTTGAATGGTAAAATCAGCATTTAGTGTCTAGGTAATTAAAACCAAGAGTCCAACTCTAAGTAATTGAGCTATTGATTTTTAAAACCCATTGCCCTGGCCCCTAGAGTCATGTCATGTGTTTGAATATTTTTGTGACAATTTGGCCCTATGTGAGATAGATGGGGGCCTTTGTTGGCTCTAATTTGACATCATTCCACCCAATTTGAAAGGGTGCCTTCCTCTTTCAAGGAAGAATAGTAAAAGCACTGAATTGAACCATGGATTTTTATTGCTGGACCTTAAATTTCTTAAGAAAACATAGTTTCAATATAAAAAAACTTTCAAATAGAACATCTCCATCTTGATTATTATGGATCTGAAAATAAAAATATAAAATAATAATAATAATAATTTGGGCTTGAAAATGATCAATCTTGTGAAGATTTATTTAGACTTCGTTTCAGGGGTTTACAGATTTACCCTATTTTTGAAACTTCAAATAATGAAGTAATAGGTAGAAATGAATTGGCATGCCTTCACAAGGTTTTCAGCACTTAATCTGCCCTTTTCTTATGAGGTTTTAAGCAACATCTTTACCTGGCCTCATCTTCAACGCTATCATTTGTAGAAAGGCTCTTCGAGTCGACCAACCCAACAAATGCTTCCGATTTTTTCTCAGTATTCATGGCCTGACCCTGCATTAAAAACGATCAAAATGCTCCTTTAAAAAAATTTATATTCGAAGAGTAAATTCAGATTCTCCAAAAATTTGAATACCAAGAATGTATGATTGTTCCCCAAAGTGATGGCAGTGGGGAATGTACGATCAATGGTGCTAGCAGCGACTGTTAAGATCCAAGGTGCAGCGTCCTCTACTGTTTGAGGTTCAGGGCCACTATTTCCCCCTGAACATACAACCGTGATTCCCCGAGCCATGGCATGGAATGCACCAATCATTATGCCATCGGGACCTTCATCCACATAAGAGTAAAGTGGTAGGCTGACACCGAGGGAAAGAGATAGGACATCAACCCCATCATGGATTGCATAGTCAAAGGCCTTCAGCATGTCAGCAGCACTAACAGACCCACCCAACCAGGCAGTCTTGTACACAGCAAGCCGAGCAAGCGGTGCACCACCCCGGGCCGTCCCAACCGCCAGCCCACGAAACGTAGCCGATGTTACTGGAGAGCCCACTGCAGTGGAGGCAGTGTGCGTGCCGTGGTCTACAGAATCACGAGCAGACAATATCTCGCCAGGAACATTGGACAGGGGTGCTCCTAGCTGGGCTTCTAGCCCTTTAACGAACCAACGGGCACCAATGAGCTTGCGATTACAATTTGATGAATTGAATTGCTTGCCTGGTTGGCAGATTCCCTTCCATCGGCGTGGGATTGGACCCATGCCCTTGTCATTGAAGCTCTCTGACTCAGGCCAGACTCCTGGAACACAACTACACAACAGTGAGTGCTTCAGTTAGGGGATGCAATTTCTATATGGCCTAGACCTTATGAGAAAATGTAAAGCCTTACCTCAAAACCTTTTCTACAAAATAATACTTATGATGGCTCTAAAATTAATTTAAAATTCCTAATTATAGAATTAAAAAATAGTACAGATCTCTAGGATCGATGAACACTTGAAAATGAAGGGTCTTGATGATGTGATACGATTATGGAAAGTGAAAACCTTTTTGTGAATACCAAATATTATTTATCCACAATTTTCAACCTCAACCTCAGGAAACACTCTTGAGGTGCTTCAAAAAGGTTCATTGCAGTCTCCTCTTCTCTAAAAATAACATCTTTAACAAAAATGAATGAGGTTTTTATAAGGCTAAGGTTTTATAAAAACCAAATAAAGTTTCACCTCAAATCTTCATCCGGAACGCACTTTTGGCAATCGAAATCTCCATGATGGTTCTAAAATCAATTTTCAATCGAAATCTCCATGATGGTTCTAAAATCAATTTTCAACACTGACAATGGAGCTCAAACTCAAGAAATCTTATGGACATATGAACACTTTTTTTTATTACAAAATAAATGGTCTAAATAATTTATTACAGTATACACTATTTTTAGATCTTGAAATCTTATTATTTTCACAATTATAATATTCAAACTAGGATCATTGATGTGAAGTTTTTTATAATTACTGAATTGCAATTTTCGATGTGTTATGATGTGTGAATCTTTACTTATTTTAGTAGGGCTACAGCCCTGTGAAACCATTTTCCATAAAAAATTGACTCGAACTCTCAACATGCTCCAAATCTCATGCTACCACCAAACTGAGATATAGGACATCCATTTGATTTGACAGTGGATCGTATGGCTTTGAAGCAATTTTCTTCGATCCAAGTTACACGAAATAAAAAAAAAGGAAAAAAAAGAAGCTCGGAGCTCCAAATGAATGATCACCGTCAAAATAAAATCTAGGACGTCTATTTAAATTAGCACTAGACTTGAGGGCCTGTTTTGTTTCCTGAATTAAGATTTACGGGACTCACACTTCAAGAAAATGTGCCAAAAAATCATGTTTGAATGCAATTTAATATAAAAATTCACATTTCTACTGGAATTTGCTATTCCTCCTTTCAAGCCAAGTAGCTAGAAATATTAATTCCATATAAATATGTGGAATTCGACTTATAATTTTTGCGGTAAGTTGTATTGGACAAATTATTGGGGTGTGCCTAAAAGAGAAACGAAATGACTCTTCCTCGCACCTGCATGAAATCCTCTTGCTATAATATATAAATAATATATTTTATAAATATTATATTATTTAATACTATATAATATTAGATTATATACATTAGTATAATGTATAATATATTATCACAATATTATACATAATAGAATACATATGTTACTACAATAATATTATTTTATATTATTATATAATATAATAAAAATGTATAATATTATGTAATATTAAATATGTTTCCATTATATTGTATATTCGATATAATATATATTTATTATCTTATATACAATGTACAAAAATAAAAATGTATAATATTATGTAATATAATCTTATTATAAATATATTTCTATTATATTATATATTCCATAAAATATATATTTATTATATTATATACAATTTACAAATATCATATATTATATTATATGT